CAAAATAAAATTAAAAATAAAAAAATGTTTCCCAGCTGCCAGGTTATTCTCACAAAGAGCCTAACTAGAACTCAAAAAAAAAAAAAACCACCCTCAAAAAACCCCCCAAACAAACAAAAAAAACCCCACCCCAAAATAAAAAGAAAAAAATAAAAAAGCCAGGAATTATTTTAATGTTAAAAAATAAAATAAAATAAAAGCGGATATGGCAACGCTACTAGTAAAGTGGAATACATCACAGAAACCAAAGTCTTTTTGCAGGCAACACTGTTCGGAGAGAGGAGAACACTTGACGGGTGAAAAAAGTGAAGTCCTAAATTATATACAATAGTATCTAAGGGTGGCTTTGAAAAACAGTCTCCTTTAACGTGATTCAAGGTTTAACTCGCCGTTATCTATTGCTTATTTGTTCAGATCCATAATAACACTTAAGGGAGAGACGGATGCGTAAAAATGAGACACCGTGGAATAAAGAAAAACCAAAAAAAACCAGCTTTTCGTATGAAAACGCCACGTGTACGCGCTTGTCCGATGTGGAATGTACCTACAGTCGTTTCACGGGCCGGGGGCTTCTCATCGCCGCGCCGCTCCGGCGGGAAAACCGGCCGGCGAGAGAGCCGGGACACGCTCGCTTGCCGGGGATGAGCTCGTGGAAAGCGCCCCGCAAGCCTCTTATCACCCCAAAACTCGTTTCCAGGCGGAAAAGTCCGACTTGCCCGGCTGTGAACGGACAGGATCCGAAAGCGTCTGGTAGCGAGATGGAAAAAAGGGGCAGACAGCCCTAATCCTTATGAAGGACGAGACTCAGTTGTTAAATTTTAAGGGGTATCCGATGGCTTTTTCCAGGCACTCTACCAAAGAGCCGGCGGAAAGAAAATCCCTCTCCACTTCCACAAATTTGATGTAGATGGATTTGGGCGACACGCCGGGCTCTACGACGCAGTTCTGAGATAAAAAGGCGTTGATCCCGACCCAATCTTTGCTGAAGGTTTTGGTGTTTGCCTGAAAGTGTAAAAACAGGCACTGCTGGAGAGTCCGGACCTCGGCGATGCCGAGGTAACAGTAGATAATCCGGGCGGATTCCATATCCACCCGGAGGGAGGCTTGCGGCGAAGGGACCTCCAGCTCCCCTTGAGTCTCATTGCCGGGATCGGGCCCCCTGTGCTTGGCGAGAGGGGAGGGGGGTTTCTCGTGGCACTCTTCGTAACCGATGGCGTACAAGCCGGGGCTTTTGGGGATCCCTCCCGGTAATAAATACTGAACGACGTTTCCTCCGGTGGGTTTGGAGTGGGCGATGGGTATCCAGTCGATCTCCATGTGCAGCTCGAGGCACCTGGCTTCGCTGATGGTGATCTCCAGGAATTTGTAATAAACGTTCTTCCAGTTCATTTTCTGCACTCTGGTCATGATAACCCGACCCTCCGGCTTTTCCGAGTTGAAATATTCCCGGAGCCGCTTGCCGAGGGGTACCTGCGAGCTGATCTCCGCGTAGTGGTAACGAATATCCTCCTTCCAGCGGGTGTTGTAACCGATGCCGAAAATGGCCAGTTTGTTAGAAAGATGTAGCCTGGAGAAGTCCGTCCAGCTCTGAAACAGCTCCCACTTCAACTGGACCGACTCCAGGATTTGCATAATATTCTGCATGACGTCGCGCTTCCTGGAAATTAAAAAAACACGGAGAGAAGGATAAAGGCATCAGTAAAACCGGAGCCGCAAAACCATCCCGGCGAACGCACCGACCTCCGGGAAACGCTAATCCCTTTCAGCCTTCCCGACTGCTTTTTAGGCGGTGGGTATTTCGTTACCGCGTATGCCCTGCATCGCCAGGTGGGTTTACGGATTGTAACGCCACACCGATGGCTTGTTTGTGGGTTTTTGGTTGTTTTTTTTTTTAATTAATCTCAGCGAAACCAAGGAAAAACCCAACCCAAACTCCTTCCAGCTCCTCAAGCACACTACGATCTCCGCTGGAAATGAGATTTCACGCGAGAAGTTCTGCAGGAGACAACCCGGTAAAGAAAACGAGAGCTGATAGATCCCCAAGTTCCGCTTCCAAGAAAGGTTTCGGCTCTCACCAACCCCCAAGACAACACACGGTGGAAAAGTCCTGCTCCTACCTGTGCTGCTTCAAAGCAACTGCAAGCAAACGCGTGTCTGGTGCCGCTAAATAAATGCGAGCTTAGTTACTGGATTATTCTTTACAGCCGTGCGCTCCCGCCGGCACGCGGTCCGTCGCGGAGGACCGGAGCTGCAATCCCTAATTTGCAACCGCCACGCCGAACACTTCCACCTCCTCGTTACTCCAAAATTAACGCGAGGGAACGGGGCTGTAACTACAAAAGAAAAGAAAAAGACCCCAAACCCAACGACAAAGCAAGCGCCAAGCGGCCCCGAAGGGCTCGGTCCCGGCGCTGGATCAGAAACACGGCCGAAGGGACCGACCCCACCGAGCGGAAGACGCCGGTGAAGGCGACCTGCGCCCGGAGACAACGTGATGCGCTAACCGGCCGCGTGACGGACAGCAGAAATCCCTCCGGACATCCAATAAAGAACCCCCCCCCCCGGTTTTCCAAAAGTTCTTTTCTCGCTCCCGGTAACGAACCCCCCCCCCCGTGTTTCCAAAGATCTCTTCTCGCTCCCGGTAACGACACCGGTATCAAAGCGAGTTTCCACGGAGGGATTTACACTTCGCTGAAGCGATCAGGAGAGAGCATTGGCGTGCGCCTGAAGCGAGCTGGAACAGCTTCCTCCGGGATGAACGAGACACTCAGGACGTAATTAACCAGTAGGGAGGAACTGCTCATCTTCGGAGATATTGCCCTATAATCAAAGCTGTAGGAAGATAACGCGACTCGTTTGGTAACGGAGAAGCCTCCCTAGGTCCAACAAATGGGATTTAAAAGCTCGCTCCGCGCAACTCTCCTCCCTTTTACCTGTTGCGCTGCATCTGTAAAGCTGAACTGCAATGGCGTGGGGGTCACCGCACCCCACCCAGGAGGGTCCCTCCTCCTCCCACGTCCCACCAGGGGAACGGTCTGCATCTTTAGCCCCCGCGCCAGGCGACACCGGTTTCCTTCTGCGGGGCACGCACGAGCTTCCCTCCTCTTGTTGGGTCCCTTTCCTGCGTTCGTGAAGATCACTTGAACTCCCTAAAAATCAGCCTTTCCCGACAGCTCCCCGATGGGAGTCCAGCGTGAGACTGGTGAGGGACACGGAGGTCTTCAAGCAAGAGGAGATAACGATGCCCCACCAACTGCACAAGGATACACCCGGGGTTGAGACTCTGGCAGCTGCACTTCTGCCCCGTAAATCCCAACGTGGATCAGAAGGTCTCTTTTTGCATCGTATTGATATAAGGGTTCAAAGAAAAAAGGGTTGGGAGCCGCAGAGCCTTCCCACGGTGCCGGAGAGGTCCAGCCTCACAGCCTCTCATCTCAAAAAAACCTGCTTTTATAGACGTAAGTATAACGCACGTGATTTTGGAAAGGTTCTCCGAGCGCTGGTTGTCCTGCCGGCGATCTGGTGCCTCCAGGGCAGACTGAAGGCGCTGGGCGTGGGACCAGAGAGCTCTGTTTCGAGCAGCCTGAGGCACGACGGTTGGTGCGCACCAGCTCTGCAGACCTCAGGCAGGGTGTCCG